TATCCCAGTTACATTATATTCACTTATATTTTAATAAAACCATATAGACTGCACAACGTCACAGAGGACTCATGCCAGAAGAGGTCACAGCTGTGTATAAAGCTATCTTTACAAAAGAGCTGGAAAACATGCTGAAAAGGAGAAATATAGCTGGGGATTCACAGGTATTCCACCACTACTGCCCTCTCATCATGGCCTTATTCTCAGCTGTGACAGTGAAGAGAGTCATTTTTACCAACATATGGGCTCAATTTCTGTCAACTTCTCTCCCACAGGTTGGCCTACCTCCCTGGAATACTGGGACAGTAGACACAACTTGTCCTGCCTATAACCAGTCGCTATGTTTGGCATAGCTTCCATTAGTACCAGTACCCAGTGGGCATTCCAAATAGGAATTATGAAAATGAGTGCCATTAATTTCGCAAACATAAGATCAAGTCTGGAAGTCCTCATTTAGAATTTCTCAGGGTTCCCCCCAGCAGAACCTCCATCAACTTCAATTAGATTTTTGTCTAAGTAAGGGCTGAGTAAAAACAGGTTCAGATTCTGATGTCAGTTACACCACCAGTTCAATGGGTTACATCAAAAATTGGACCTGAGTGAGGAGTTCAGGATTTGACCCATAGACAAAACACTTTTGCTGCTCCTGACAGTTTAAAAAATGTAAAACCTCTGGAAGGCAATATCATCATCTTGTAAGGGTTTCTATCTATACTAATCTGGTCTCCATTACTGTATGAGCACTACACAATCTTTCACCTATTTATCCTCACAACAGCCCTGAGTGGTAGGGAAGTGCTATATCCTCATTTTAACAGATTCAGTGATTTGCTCATGGTCACACAAGAAATCTGCAGCTAAGCAGGGAGCAGAAGAACCCAGGCTTCCTGAGTTCCAGGCTAGTATTCTAATCACTGGACCATCCTACCTTATTCTACATTTGGGAGAGTCAGATTGAGAGGAAAAAGTGGTCAAAATGTCTTTACATATCCAAAGTACCTAGCAGCCTCTGAATGTAGTTCCCGCAGTTTGGTTTGTCTTCTTTTAGAATTTTGTTTTTTTCCTTTTCATGAAAGTTTAGATCCAGAAAGTCATGTCAAAGTTGAAAGAATCTATGGGTTTTCTCCATCCACAGATTTGGATTGTTCTCAAGTCCGGAGAAGGCAATTTCATGCTAATCATCTTTAAGAAGTTTCAGTTAAATTTCACAGACTCAGAGTATTGTGACTGCCCTCCAAGGGATTACTAGTGACCCATGAATGACTGCAATTGTCCCTGCACATCCTGATACACTTACTAGCAGCATTGACAGTACCATGGGGTTCTAATAAACTTAAGATAATCCTTTTATTGAGAAAAAGTAAAATGAGACAAGCTTTCAAGAATCCCATGCATAAACTTACATAGGGCCATGATGTATGATTCTAGAAAAAGCAATTTTGGGGGTTTAGATTTTCATTCTTTAGCATTGGAGTACTTTATGTCCTCAATAACTATGCAATTCTTATAGCTCGGGATTTAAACCCATGCAACCTCCCTGAAATCAATGAAATTGTATAGGGTGCAAGTCAGGGCAGAATGTGGCCCTGGAAGTTTTAAGTAAGGTTATCGGGTAACTTTCTTGCTGGCTTCACTTCTTCTCTTATGCACTATGGATTCTCTTTGGACTCCGTGCTCTTCTTTTTGAATTAAAATAAAATATTAGTTTTGGTCTTTCATAAATCCTCACATAGTATGGTATCACCCATAGATAGCATAAACTGTAAAATCTGTAAATGTGTTCAGATTTAGAGAGACAAGGTGGGTGAAGTAATATCTTTTATTGGACCAATTTCACACAGGACCAAATACTTCTGCATTCAGTTACTGCATGGGCCTCCCTGAAGCCATATAATTGAACATTTTATTTTGCCGTTGGGTCTTCCATGAACAATGGAATTTATTATCATGATTACGTTGGCAACACCGGATTTATTTGCCCAGCCCTTCCTGAAGGAGCTCACTTCTGTAGTGTGGAACAGGTTCAGTCTTGAACACCAGTGATTTTATTGCAGAAATACACACACACATATCATCACTTGGATTGCTTTTGATCCAGTCATCATGCAAGTCACAGAGAACCTAGGAAAATTATTTTAACTCAAAAATTCAATTCACATTTTATTAGAAACAGCCTACTTCATCTCAGGACAATGTCTGGATTAATTCCTACATCATCAAAGAGCATGGATCAGCATTTTGTGATTATGCAGCAAGAGTACAGCTCATCAGTACAGTTATAATATAGAGCCTGATCTTCACAAATGGGAGCAGATTTAAAAATCAACGGTAAATATTGATGATGTAAAACTAAAGATTTACTAATATGCGTCAGTTTCTTCATTTGCTTGAGTCTGCTTTTCCCTAAGAGGCGTGAGTACACTTGCTTTCCTGAGCACTTCATTCTGATGCCGCTGATGCTGGCTTGATTTAAGAACACTGAAGTCCTTTGGGGGCAAGGTCCTTTTGTTGTCATACGCCCCTTCGGAATTCTTTGTCCGCAGTCACCAAGAATGCAAGGTCAGTGTTTTCCACCAGGCTCACACGTCTCTCTGCAGTTTTGCTGTTCCCCCGCAGAAACCTCTTTAGTTTTAAATCATTATGACATGAAAAAAATTGTGAGGTTCTCAACTAGACATTTATGACGGAGCTCCCCCTTGGCTGCTGCACAAGTGCACACCAGTACAGAGATTTTGCTTTACCCCTTGGTTTTTAAACAATCAAGCTCAGCTCAGACATTTTGATTTAAACCAATGAGAATACACAGTAGGTCCTGTCGGCGGCAACACGGTTTCCCCTGCTCTGAAAAGCATCTGGTGTCCTCATCTACACAACTTTTGCTAACAGGTGGTTGTTCCGCCCGTTACATAAAAAGTCTCTTTTTCGTGCCCTGCAGTCAGAAGGCAGTACAAGTCCGCACCCAAAGAGCCGCACGCGCCTTGCAGAGAACTCGTAACACGCACAACTCGGGGAGTCCGTCCCTCCCTCCCGCAGCGGCGCCGCCAGCTACCCAAACCGCAACCGGTGCCGCCGCCCTCACATCCCGCAGCATTAGTAACCGCTGGCTTCGTCCCGGCCGAGGCAGCTGCCAATACACCCCGAACCCAAGCGCACAGGACGGAAGGAGAACGGGAGGGAGGAGACGCGCTGCATCGCCACTAACCCGCTCCCACCTGCAGGGCTCGCCCGTGAAACGTCCCCCGCGCCCAGCCCGCAGCTCCAGGCAGCGCAGCCGACGGAGTTTGAAACAGATGCCAAGGTCCCCCCGCCCCGCGGACCCCCAGGCGGCGGAGAGCGGTTCCCGGCCGGGGCTGGGCGCAGCCAGCAGTGGCACTGGCTAGGGAGCGGGCCAGGGCTCGGCAGCCTGGCGGCTCCTTTCTTCCTGCTCGCCCAGGAGCCTGCCCGGGGAGGGGCGGGGGCCCCGCGCCGCGCTACAGCGGGAAAGTTTCTGTGCGGAGGGGAAGGGGGAAGCTCCCTGCCCCGGGGCCGGGGGGGGGCACTTACAGTCTCTTGTCCTGCGGCTGCAGCTGCCAGTGCATGGCCAGGGAGAAGCCGAACAGGCTGTCCCGCTCCCCTTTCCGCACGATCACGTTGTCGGTGTCCAGGTTGAAGGCGGAGGCGAGGCAGGGGAAGAGGGACAGGTAGAGGAGCGTCTGCCCGGGGGCCATCTGCTCTCAGGGCTCCGGCCGGGGACCGAGGGGGGGAGCGGGAACCTGCTGCTGCTCTGTGCCCTTCGCCCGACTGCGGCTGGCGCTCTGCAGCCTCTCCCCTCGCTGCCACACGCTGAATGAGCCCGTTGTTCTCCTGAGACTCCCAGGCTTTGCACTAAGTGACGAAGAGAGGCGAGCCCCGCCTCTCCCAGCCACGCCGGGCCCCGGCCCTGCAGCCCTCAGCCTCTCCTAGCCCTGCCCTGCCGTTCTGGCCCTGTCAATCTTCCAGCCCCTGAACAACAGCACGAGGCGCCTCCAGCCCGGAAAAGCGCCTCTGCAACCGTCCAGGATGTAGAGCCTATCCCAGCTCTGCAGCCTGCCCTGTCTCCACCAGCCTACCCCAGCCTTGCACAATTCCCCCAGCAGTGTCTTGCTGTAGCACTCCATAGCTCAGATGCTGCAATCGAGGGTCACCTATAAGGAACCTGCAGCTAGTTACGTATTCCTAGTTCGTTATTCAGGATTCCAGTTCCTTATTCAAGGGTTCTAAAATTGAAATTGAGTAACTAACTGGGGTTCCAACACATATAAGCAACAATAACTCCTGGTTACCCCAATCATGTGTATTTGTGTCCATCAGACGTTTGCGAAAATAGAAATTAGAGTAGGGATATCACATTGCACAGAAATAAAGCTTGTGTCAGAGAGTGATCTTCCCCAGGCTGTTCAGAACCCTCTGACAGATGCAGAACATATGAGTTGAGGTCAAGTATCAGGGGGTAGCCGTGTTAGTCTGTATCTACAAAAACAGCTAAAACCTAAAAAAAAAAAAA